CATATGTTAGTATTGCTATTATTAATCAGCGAAATAGTCCTGAATAATTCCTTATTCGACTTTATTGGCCTTTCACGCAATGAAAACAGCAACTTGTACGAGACACCCACAGACAGACTTCTCTTGAACAATCTGTCATATAAAGTGACTTTCAGGAAGACCATCCATCGACAAAGGAGGGCAGAGCACGAGAAGGAAACGTCAAAACCATCACACCCAATTACAAACTCGGAACGGAGAAACCTGTAAGAACATTTATTTTCCTTTCTTCACCTCAATCACTAATTGAGTTCTGGCGCTCTCAGAAACTGGCCATGTGATGTTATACAGCGCGTAAGGGGAAGTGATGGCACTCAGCCTAAATTAACACATAGCAAGACGTTCTTCGCTGGCTGGTGCATATGGTCAATGTTTATTCATACTCGACCGCAATTATTACAAATTTTTACTCTTTTTCTTGGGTAGACGAGGGTCTCAAACAACCATATTGAATTTCTAGATGATGTTTCGTGGTTTCGAACCAGGTTGAGCCTAAATTTTACGAAATACCTTTTCTAGGGCGGAAGTGGTGTAGTGGCAAGTGGCACGCTTACCACGCGAGCGGTGGGATCAAATCCTGGGTCGTGAGTCGCCCGGGCCAACCAAGCCTTCCATCCCTCCGGGGTCGGTTAATTGGTACCAGACTTGTCTGGGAGGATAAAAACACTGACTTGTACATCGGCTGGCCCCCGCAAGTCATTGTATAGGCCACATCGCATTCAAACGCCACTACGAATGTACAAATGGAAGTAGAATGCGTGCCGCATCCCAAAAAGGGATTGATCAACGGCAAATGCTTTATCCTTTATCCTTTAATCTTTCTCTCAGCCTTCACTCAAGCTCTCACAACGAGGGCTCCGTTGCTTCAACTCAAAATTCGAAGACATCCGGGGGGGGGGGCCTAACCCACCCCCCAACCACCACTCTTACTTGCATCCGGCTGTTTCTATAGTATTTTCCGAGACAATTCGACACAGCCCAGCCCGCCCACATTCAAAACAGCAATGCCGTCGAGCGGGGTGTGAGGGGGTAAATATGGCAGAAGGAATAGGAAATGGTTTACTTTTCTCGCGCTTATTTCCGGAATCTTTAGCCAAAATCGTCAGAAAGGTCTACAAAAAACACCTCTCTCCAAAAACATCATTCATTCAACCCCCTATATTTCCCAATATTACAATCCCCCTTCCAACCTTTTTGCTTGACCAACTTCCCCAATACGACCTCTTCAGAGAAACCCGTGCATATGCGACCACCCTGGTGAGATGTGCGCAGTGCACGCACTCACAACTCACCGTCATCTCAGTCTCCCATCCCCATTCCATCTTTTTCTGAAGCCATATCTGACATTTCTCAAAAATTATCCGTCGAGCAAAAAAATGGGGTGGGGAAGGAAAGGAGGTTGGAGAGGTATAAATCTAGTACAATCGAATGAAGGATCTTTGGTATTCCCCTGGAACCTCTATAATCTCGTGACACTTATCTTAAAAAAATCTGATGAATCTTTCAAAAAAGCCTTCTCACCAACGAAGACGGTTACTGCTTCCGGAAATCACTTCAGTACTACTTTCTCAAATTCAACGAGTAGAGACTTGTAGAACTCGACGTGCTGAGTCCTATTGGTATACTTGTCTTCGGAGAAAAGTAAACAGTATTCAAGGTAGAAGAAAAAGACGTGGATCCGTGGGTTCCATGGCTTTTTTTTAACAAAGCTATGAAAGGTACTGTACATCCTTCCCACAGAACCAAATACGGCTGTTATCGAGTATCAACCCCGTGGCGTTGACTCGCGCTGATTTGAACCCTCAACATCCACCAAAATTTTCTGCCAGCAATCCTGCATTCGATCACGATCTTAACAGCAGTCTATGTTTCGGTCTTACTGTGTCAGGCGTAATATATCATGGCGATGTTATTTCAGAGTCACGAGCTCAAGCTGGGAACCAGTGGATATCTTCCGAATGAGAAAGGAGATTACAAGGTTAGTTGTCGAGGAGGTTGTAAAGTAAGGGATTGTGAAGGAAGCGCATTCGTCAGAACACTAATTAAAATATGTTGCTGAAGAGGGTCGTAGGTTCATCACGTGACTGTAAAATGCCGAGTTACTGATGGTCGTCGGGCTCATTCCCTAGACACAGATTAGTCATGACACCAATCTTGGTCTTTCCAGTTCAAAATGGGCATTGCACCTTTTTGATGGAACCCATAAAAATTGCAAAACAAGGGTACGTACAATGAGCTCGGGAAGCAAAGTGATAAAAAGCTTATTCTTTATGTTCACATGAATTTGAATAGTCTCACAAGCAATAAATGAGGGGTGTCCCCCAACAGGCCCACCGCGCGGCGAAGGGAAGAGACGCAGGCGCATACCGTAGCGGTTAGGCGTCAAGTTAAAGAGAGTGCACCATACTACGTCTCATATCGCACAGCACGCGCTGCAACTTGTCTCTTTGCCGCATCTGCGTCTCTTGCTTCGCCGCGCAGTGGGCCTCTTGGGACACCCAAAATGAGAACATTGAAACAGGCGCAAGAGACAAAAACCTGAAGTGGAAATGGCCGTCAATGTCCTAATCTTTCGTACTGACCTTAATTCCCAACCAGTAAAAAGAGTTAAATTTTTTGGCGTCAAAGTTTCACCAGTCATCTCTGTGTACCTCATCATACTTACAATTACATGTTTGCCTCAGCAAGATGTGGGCTCATTTAGGTGAGTATGCGGCACGAAGACTACAAACTCACAGTCATCGATCCGAAGGTAGGATAGGTCCTAAAAGTGGAAGGAACTCGTAAGAAAGAATGCTTTTTACAGGTGCGCTCAAATGCCAACATGCCGCTACACTCAACGACGCTGCCCGACGCGAAAAAGGAGATGGCTGGCGATTTCCCTAGTCAGCACTCCAAACGCAGTCTTATCAAACTTGAACCACTCGAGCAGAGACGATTCAAGGTGATAGTGTTTTCTCAATAATTACACACCACCTATACGCATGACCATAGCTGTAGGTCATTCAAAGCATTTCCGAGTAAACATCACCGAGTCCTACAGTGAGCCTACACCCGTCCCCACTCATTGGTGACAACCAAGATAATGGTAAGGGATGAGTTATTGTGGAGTGTTTAGAGTCGCCGATCGTCGCGGATTCGCGCGATGTGCGCTGAACCTGCGACGGATTGCAAAAATTGCAAGTGCCCCATTTGAACATCTGAAACACTGAATATGAAACAAGTGGAATCATGAGCAGTCGTAATTTGACCATCACCATCAAGCAGAAGTGGCGGCGGGATTGGAGGGCACCTCGCAATACTTGGTTGGGGCACTTGTGACGGCAGACCAGGCGGGGGAGCCTTAGTGCGCCCAAAGCGCAGCTTGCTGAGAATGCAAAAATGAAATTATTAAATTTCTAAACATAGTAGACTTCGGCTTTGTAAGATCTAATGTCAAACTCGGCATTAGAGTGAAGCTGTTGTGAAGCGCAGAAACTACTTACCTTCACGCCTCTCTGTTGGAAGTTCCGTCATACAGATACTGCAGAAGATTCGATAAAAACTTCGTGGACGCTGCGGTCCCGTAACCAGTAACTGTTTGTTGCGAAGAAGGCGATACTAACCTGAACCATAATCTCGAAGTACTTAGGAACTGGAGGCAAATTGAGATACTATGACTGACATAGGCCCGTATGCTATCCTTCCCGAAGGGTTGGGGACGAAATCCCTTTAAATTTTCTCTGTCTTCCCAACTGGGATTGCCCTGATAAAGGCCTACATTTAATGTATGTATGTAGGTAAAGTAAACATGCACTGAAAATGAAGAAACTACATCGTTCAAAACAAATAAATTTAAAGGAAACTTTGGATCACCTAGCTTCGGGGAAGCACGGCCCATAGCATGGCTTCCTAATTTCTATGCAATATCAAATCAACCAGCTGTCTCGCGATCTGGGTATGCCAACGTTGAGAACCCCTAGACGCGCGGTAGACGGGGTCATATTTGCCTATGCTAGGTGGGCCATACCCAGTGGAATCGACCGTAATGTGACCTGCTCCTCTAAAATGCCTTTTGGGTAGAAAGGAAGCAAGAGTTAAGGACTTGTTGCGAAGGGGGGGGGAAGAGGTCATTTATCAGTTTCCAGTTGAGCAGGAGTGATCGTATTATGTCCTCTGCTTTCGCCCGACGCCCACAGGTGTCACCTCTGCAATCTACACAAAAACAGCACGCTTTCAGAGCACAGAATCTCGCCCGATCACCACCAGCAACTACTTAACAGAGAGTGTGGAACGACATCGAGATATGGAAGCGAGCCGTCTCAGAGATTACCTCAAAGCCAAGGAGAGCGACGCCAACAAACCCTGGAACAAACCCGGATGGCCTGGGCCAAAGGTAAACCCGTTCAAAAGAGAGCAGGGTCAGCGGTTTTTTGAGCAAGACTGATCTTTCCGCATAGAAGTGGTGAAATATCGAAATTTTCGCACTTAGCAATCTCCTTTTATGATCAATAGTTTCCCTTTCTTTACAGTTAAGCATCGCTTGAGTTACAAGAATTTTTAAAACCCTAAATTTAATGTGTTCATCGTTGCATTCCAGAAAAGCGACGACGAGAGTCTTCGTGAATTGGAACACATCAGAAAGGTACGTTTTAATGCTCTTTGAAAGCGCATGCACGATTGCTAAGCGGAGTGCTGAAATAGGGCCAAGATGGCTGAGACGGTG